CTCCTTGGAAGGACCTAATAGTGTCCGCTAAGGTTTAGGGAGCGACTCCGAGGCGGACCTACTAGCGTCCCCAAAGAGGCGAAGGACGTCAAGAGGAAGTCCCTACTAGAGGACGCCTCCTGTACGGGCGAATACAACCGATCGGAAGGACCTTTTTAGTGTCCGCCAGGAGGTTAGTCGGAGCCGACCGGACCTCTTAGTGTCTGTCGGGGAAGACCAGGAAGGGAATGCAGTGGGAGAAGGTGCTGAAAACAAGCAACAGCATCAATCTTCGGCCGCAATGGCTGACGACAACGAGCAACGGGACGACCGTCGAGACCCTCGAGAACCTCGAGAACGTCCCGCCGAGCAGCGAGAGCGCCCCGCCGAGCAGCGAGACCGCCAGGGGCAGTTGGAGCCCGATCATGACGTCGACCTGGACGACGTCGTGGACATCGTGGAGGCCCACCACCAACGATTGGCAGGCCAGCATAGGCGGGGACGAGGACAACGAAGACCCAGGGGAGGTCGTGGCCGTCGCGCCCGGGGAGGTGGACGAGCCAGAAGAATCATGGAGTTCCGTGTCCGGGAGGACATGGATGTGGAGCAGGACGGGGTACCTGCCCGAAGACAGAGACTGCAGCGAGAGAGAAGAGTGCCACGACGTTTTCTTGAAGGTGGACAGGAGAGAGAAGCACATGAAAACCAGGGGGCAGCGCAGGAGCAAGAAGAACCGCTGGAGGTTCTAGTCGGGGAACCAAGACGGGTGAGAATCCCGGCAGCAGCACGACGACGTCGCGAGGAGGAGCAGGATGATGTGCTCCAGATAAACTACGACGGAGACGATGAAGACATGGAGGAGCACCGGGAGCCACAACAACAGGCGAATGACAACAATGAAGAGCCACAGCAACAAGCAAATGACAACAATGCAGCGCTGTTCCTAAGGTTACTGGAAACTATGGGCAGCAAGAACAAGAACAAGAAGTATAATGAGGTGCCAAAGTACAATGGCGACACAGACTACTCCATATACCAAGTCCAGTTCAACACAATGGCAGAAGCTAACGAATGGACAACACAAGACAAGAGGACGGCGTTGCTGCAGGCACTCACAGGGAATGCCACGGATGTCATAGCGAATCTCCAGAGCGCGGAGGTGCCGCTTACTTTTGAAGCGCTGGATGAGGCTCTTGTAAAGACATTCAGCAAGACAGCGTCCATGTGGGAACGCAAAAAGGATTTCACGACATTAATGCAAGAGAAAGACCAGACAATTCGGCAGTTTGCGAGGCAGGTGGAGCGCCTCGGGCGGGCGTACTTACGCAACATGAAGGAGAGCGACATCCAAGAGTCGCTGATAGAGCGGTTCATCAAGGGACTCGCAGACAAGAAGGCAGCAGGCCGGCTGGCATATACTGCGCTCCCAACATTGGACGAAGCGCTCAAAACACTCAACAGAGGGCTAAGCCTTGAAATTGAGGAGCCCCCGGCAAAAAGGATTCGTCTAGCAAAGGCGGAAGATACGGACAAAGAGGAAGAGAAGGAAGAGGACGCCAAAGTCAGCATGGTCTATCCGGACCAGGCTGCAGCAGGAACGTCGTCGGCGACACAAACAGGAGGAAGAGGATCCCGCGGGGGATTTCGCGGAGGAAGAGGAACTCGCGGAGGATTTCGTGGAGGAAGAGGATCCCGCGGAGGACGCGGTGGCTACAACAGTAGTGATAATGATAAGCACATTACATGTAGGTTCTGTGGCAAGATCGGGCACAGAATGGCAAACTGTTGGCACAACACTGCTCATAACGGCAATCATAATAACAGCAATGGTAATGCTAATAATAGTAATGGTATGAATTGTCACTCATGTGGGAAACCGGGACATTTTGCGAGAAACTGCAGAAACAATAAAGGCAATGCCGCAGCAGGTGGGTTCTCTATGCCAAATGTCCCGCCGGATCTCTACAAAGCCACTGTGCAATGGTTCCTGAATCAGAATAAGGGTAACAACGGGGCTAGCACTAGCACCGACAAAAATGTACCATTTGTACCTAGCAAGAATCAGGAAAACTAGAGACAATCTCCACGGAAAAGGTGGACATGGAGGTTGAAAATGAAGAAAATGTAATACCACCGGTGACGGAGCAGGCCAATAAAGAAACAACAGAGCCGAGTCACCGGGAGGTAACGTGTAATGTGTGTACTACAGTGTCGACAGCACCAACAATAAAGTGTAAAGTAGAAGGTTTAAATAAAGACTGCGTTATTGATACAGCGGCTGTCATTACTGTTATCCCCAGAACGCGAGACCTCCCAGTCGCTAAGTTACGACTTAAAGGAGTGACTTCGCATAAAGCGAATCTTTACGGCCCCGCAATGACGGAATTCGTAATCAGCGGGAAGAAATTTAAGTTTCTTACGTACGAAGCGGACATTGAGGAATACCTATTGGGAATCGATTTCCTACACAAGTTTAACGCAGTAGTGAAAGTAAGAGACCAGGTATTAGAAACTGGAGAGGGTGATCACAAGGTAAGCACGCCGTTCAGGCTAGAGTCCTCAGCATGTGCAAGAACCTATACGGCTGGAAAAGTAGTGTACAGAGTAAGGGCGGAGAAAAACATTATTCTGAAGCCATTCGTGGAAACCGAATTAGCAACAATATTAAGAACGGATGTGGCGATCGATGAGTCTACCAGGGAAAGGGTGGACGACCGTCGTCGAAGACGGGGTCAAACCAGACTTCCAAGAAATAGCTCAATTTGGCAACAAAGCAAGGACATTGTGGTTGCAATTCAAATCCCTCACCATAAATAACGGAGTATTATACAGAAGATTCGAGCATCCTAGTGGGGATAAAAACAAAGAGGAATTACAACTAATACTTCCGGAACAACTGGTGGAGCAAACAGTTAAGGCCTACCACGAACAGTTGGGGTTAGGAAATCACTTTGGAATAACAAAGACACTTGCATACCTTAAAAGGTTCTTCTGGTGGCCAGGAATGTTCAATGACGTGGCAGGAATCATCTCTGAATGCAGAGTGTGCGCCAAATTCAAAGGTCCACACAGAATGACTAAAGCACCACTTAAGTTATTCCAGGAAGGGATCTTGCACGGAAGATGGCATGTAGACATATGTGGACCCATTAACCCTAAAAGCAAAGAAGGGCATGAGTACATATTAGTGGCAGTCGAAGCGTTTTCAGGTTGGCCTGTAATAGTTCCACTGTTCAAACAAACAGCAGATGAAATAGCGCAGGCTCTGATAACCCATGTGTTCTCCATATTTGGAGCTCCTCATGCACTACTCACAGATCAAGGAAAAGCATTCGACTCGTTATTGTTCCAGGAAATAATGGAGCTGTACCATATAAGGAAATCTAGAACTTCAGCGTTTCACCCTGCAACAAATGGAAAGGCAGAGAGATGGATTAAAACGCTGAAGCAACAGTTAATGATTCTGATTGAAAATGACAGGCAAGAGTGGCCGAAATACCTACCTTTCATTGCACAAGCATACAGAAGTCTACCACACACTTCTCACAAGTTTAGTCCATATGAGGTGATGTTTGGAGCAACCATGAGAACACCACTAGATATGGCCAGAGGACAACCTCCAAAAGAAGAGGACATGTTCAAACAATATCCTTTCTGGGTCAGGAAAACGTTACAGGATATCCACAAACAGGTGGCACACATGAGCAAGAAGGCTGCAAAAAGAATGAAGGAATATTATGACAGGACAGCAGCTCTAGTACCATTCAAGGAAGGAGATCAAGTTTTCCTGTACTACCCCAGAAGGGTTAAGGGTAT